GGTAAACAGGAAGTCGTTTCCATGGGTGTAGGAAGAAGAAATGATAGAACTAGTGGCAGAGTCAAGAACGGGCTAGCTGTGGTGAGCTTGGAGTGGGCAGAAATGTCTTCAGGTAGCCACATAAGACTTGTACGCATGCTGCTTTCCTCCTTTCTTGGCTCGGCTCACTGTTCATCTGAGAAATGCAGAGTTGCTGCCCACTGCTGACCTGCACTCAGGGTCTGCTGCTTTTTAGCAGTGTTTGCATTAGCTGTGACTCGTAGGCAGCAGACAAATGGAGACACTGTCCATCGAGGGTGGAAAAGTGACTTATTTTGAGAAAGGTTAGCTCCCACCACTATCCCATTAGTGGCATTCCTCTGACACTCCAGTGAAGCAGGGCTAGGGAAGTGAAGACTGGCTCCTGTGTGTCTTTGCTCTTTGAGAGGTTAGAACCTGAATATACCACAAGGCATTCCGCCCCCTCTCCTTCCCCCCCACCCCAGATTAGAACGCAATTACGGTGGGTTCTGAAGCAAATTTTATGTGTTGGTGCTTCACTACTTTTGAAACTGCAGAATTCATTCCCTTCTCTAGTTCTATTACCCCTCTGCAGGAATATAAATCTCTTAATGTCACTAACTTTAAAAAAAATCGGTGAGAAGAGCAGATAAAGATCAAAGATGTTCAGTGTCAAGTGATTTATGGTGACCTACAAATGAGAGAACCTAGTCCCTGCATGTGGTAAGGACTTGGAAGGGGAGAACACCAAGAATTATCTCATCTGTGTGGTTTTTCAGCTGGCTAAAGCGAATTATTGTAAAAGAAAACTTTAAATTTGCTTCAGACCTAGTAGGTAGATAAATAATTAGTTGACAGTGGGAGGGACTTAGTGTGGTGGACATTCATTATACAGCCCATGTCTCATTGAGGGTTTGTCTAGGAAGGAGGGCAGCAATTCAGACATACCAGAAGATGTCCTGGCTAGTGTGTGGGGAATGGGGCTGAGGCTGTGGTGGGATTTGTTGCCAATCCTCAGGAGACCTAGCTTACTGAATTGCCTGTAAGTAGTAGAACAATTTTTCATCTTAAATTTCAAACTCTATTTTACTTTGAATATTGAGTGGATTCAGAGGCCATTTTGTTTTATTTGCCTTCTGAAAGAACCCCAGTATTTATTCAAATGCTGTGAACTAACTATGTGTTAAGTTTAGGTTGGGCTTGTACACTGGATTTCTTCACTCAAAAGTGAAGTATCAAATTAGAACTTGAATTTTTGCAGCCTGCCCATGGAACATACAGGAATATAAAGCAGTCATTTGTCAGTGGGCAGCTGAAAGTCCATTTTCAGCAGGGACTGAAAACCACGGCAAGCTGTTGGCTTCCTGGCACCACCACAGGATCCTGCAGGTTTACACTGAAAGCAAATGTACAGGGGCTAAAGAGGGGGATCAGGTGGGTAAAAGTAAAAGCTAAGGCCAAGGCCAAGGTATGAATGGGACTGAGCCACAAAGAAGAGCAGGATTCTAACAAAAGAAAACACGAACCCCAGATACCATGGCAAGGAGGAAGTACCTAATGTTTGTAGTGTGTGTGTGTGTGTGTGTGTGTGTGTGTGTGTTTTTCAAAAAAAAGAGTTGTGTATCTGGGCATGGTATGCACAACTGTAATCCCAGCCCTTGGGAGGTGAAAACAGGAGAGTTGCAAGTTTGAGGCAAACCCCAATGGCTACATCTCAAGAAACCATAAGTGATTTGTGTATCTTCTTTATATCTATAATTACAGGAATATTGAAGGTGACTTGGGGGGGCATTATAGTTTGACTTATGTGTGGGGTAAGTTACAATTTTATCCAGTGTATTACCACTAGGACTATTAACAGTGAAGTTGATGTGCAGAATAATTATCTTTAAATGCTTCAGAATCGTCATCTATTGATGAAAAACTTAAATTTTATTTTATTTTGTTTTGGTCGTGGGGCTTGAACTCTGGGCCTGGGCACTGTCTCAGAGCTCTTCAGCTCAAGGCTAGTGCTCTGACACTTTGAGCCACAGCGCCACTTCCAGTTTTCTGGTGGCTTATTGGAGATAAGAGTTTCACAGACTTTCCTTCCCAGGCTGGCTTTGAACTGTGATCCTCAGATCTCAGCCTTCTGAGTAGCTAAGATTACAGGCATGAGCTACTGGTGCCCGGCTTAAATATTTTCTGTATAGTACTGAGTAGACCTTTAAAAAGTGTTCTTAAACATCTTTGAAAATTAAAGTTTTGTCACATTTGGTAACTCTTAAGTGAAGTTCATTCCAGTATACCAGCCCTTATTGGCCTATGCCATGTGAGAGTTAATTCTGGTTAACAGACCTAGAGGTGGGGGTAATTGGCAGTATAAATGTTTTGTCCAAGGACGACCAATGTGTCATTATGGAGATAAAACAGAACTCGGCTGCATTCCACCAGCTTCTGGCCTCTATGATAAAATACTTTAGACATTTATAAAGAGTTTTTTTAAATAAAAGAAAATCAATTACTTTGGAAATCACAAAATTAATCATTCTGTCACATTTAAGAAGCTCTTTGATGTGTTCTGGTAATTAGTGTTTACTGCCAGATGGATGTCTCTTGGGCATTTTAATTAATGGGTGCTTGCCCAAATGAGCTTCTGATGGTAAACCTTCATAAGAGTTTATTTTTATGTTTCTCAAGAATAGCTGTCTCTTCAAAGCTCTTTAATTAGACAAAGTTTAGCAACTAAAACATATTATTAGAATAATTAGCCCCCTCTTAAGAGAAATAAGGGGTCAAAGACACAGGTACTGTTAGAGAATGACCTCTTCAATTAAAATATAACACTCTGCATCGGATGGATGTCCGGTTCCGTAAGCTTATGTGAAGTTACTGTCCCTAGGCAGGGATTAAAGTTCATGTGACAGCTCTCTCAGAAGCCTAAACACACCAGAGTGTGTACTCACTTATCACTTCATCTGAGTCTCTATAGGAAGCTGTCTTTTAGGCCTCTGACATCTAGGATAAAGCCTTCTTTCTCCTTTTTTCTATTGAGTCAGACACCTGGGAAATAGCAGTGATTGTTTTTGAAGGACATACTTCAAAATCTTGTATATAAGTAAACATAAATTACAACCGTTCTTGAAGTTCTTTTGAGCTCTTTCTTTCTTCTTCCTTCCTTCCTTCCTTCCTTCCTTCCTTCCTTCCTTCCTTCCTTCCTTCCTTCCTTCCTTTTCTTTCTTTCTTTCCTTTCTTTCTTCCTTCCTTCCTTCCTTCCTTCCTTCCTTCCTTCCTTCCTTCCTTCCTTCCTTCCTTCCTTCCTTCCTTCCTTCCTTTCTTTCTTTCTTTCTTTCTTTCTTTCTTTCTTTCTTTCTTTCTTTCTTTCTTTCTTTCTTTCTTTCTTTCTCTGTGTTTTAAGAAAGGTTAGTGCAGGTTGGCCTTGAACTCTATGATCCTCCTTCCTCAACCTCTCCATTGCTGAGATTACAGCCATCCTACACTAAGTTTGGAGTGAAGAGTCTTTCTTAATAATCTAAATTATTGACTTGTAAGTGTGTATGTGTGTGCTGAGGATCAAACCCAGGGCCTCAAGCGTGCAAAGTACATGCTGTAGCCTTGATCTGGACCTCCCCCACTCCTAGATACTCAACTTACTAATAGTTTTCCACTCCAGGATTTTGTAGTCAAAATATAGTTTGATTTCTTTTCCAACTTTACTGTTGATGGATTGTTAGCCCTTTCTCTCATTTCTCAGTCTTGACAGTCAGGTTTTACTATGTATTTACTTTTTATTCTAAGGGAAAAAAAAGATTATTGATTAGTTCTGAGGTTGTATGAGATTTCACCAAAACAACTAGGTTATAACTAGGTAGTTGTAATGAACTACTACTGTTGATAGACAACAGTACATTTATCTGTAGTGTTTATTTTTTACTTTATTACTATCTCAGGGTACATGTGATGACAAATGCATTCAAAATGTATATATGTCATTGGTTTAGTATATACATATTGCCAATTTTGGATGGTACTTAAAATAATTTGCTGTATTAATTATGAATCAGTCAAATTATTTTTTTAATTTTGAGATAACTTGCCTATTACAGTTTGTTACATGTAAATTATTTTGCTATACCTTAGCAGTGAAGCTAATGAAATTATTTCATTTAACTTGGCAGAAGCTTCATTTGCTTTTCTGTTGATATTATCTGTAAAAATTAACGACATGGTTCTAAAAACATTTGGGAAGCTCAACAAATGCAGATTTAAAGATGAAGATGTGTTGCTAAGTGACCAGAGAAGTATGTTTTATGTCAAATTATAGAGCTTTAAGGAAATCTAATGGAGTCTGGTAGAAGGTAATTTTCTCTCCAACAAGTCTACCCATTCCTAAAACAATTGATTACTGGGACTCTGCTTTTTGAACACCCTTTAACACAGAAAATACTTTTGATACTTATCTTCATGCGTGTTTGTTCATGTATATGTAATCTTTGGCAATCAGGATATGAAGAGGAAGATGTTGAATGTTAGGATTCTTAAACAATGCCATTTAGTCCTCTAAACACTTACTTCTTATGGTGGTGTGAGCGCATTCTCATGCACAACAGGATTTACACTTAAAATACTTTGGATATTTCAAAAGAGTTTTTTTTTTTTTTTCTCAAATAGTACCAACTAGGACTGCTAAGTATGGTATTGTCTTTTTGCCCATTTTACTTTTTTATTGTTTGGTGTGGTCCCTTTGCATCCCTCATAGTCTGCCTTTTGAAATTATACCAGCATCAGAATGAGAACTGACTGTTGGGGCTGGGAAGGTAGCTCAGTGGTAGAGTGCCCTGGGTTTGATTCCTCAGCACCACATAAGCAGAAAAAGCCGGAAGTGGGGCTGAGGCTCAAGTGGTAGAGCGCTAGTCGACAGCTGAAGAGCTGAGGGACAGGCCCAGAGTTCAGGCCCCACGACCCACAGGAAAAAAAAAAAAAAAGAGAGAGAGAACTGACTGTCCTCTTCTTCAACACAGACCACCTGGTGGCCCATGGCAGAATGGCAGAAAAAGAAGCCCGACGGAAGTTCAAGCAGATCGTCACAGCTGTATATTTTTGTCACTGTCGGAACATTGTTCATCGTGATTTAAAAGCTGAAAATTTGCTTCTGGATGCCAATCTGAATATCAAAATAGCAGGTGAGAAGTGTGCTAGGGTGTGCAGAGAACAAAGGAGCCTTTTTCCTTTAGGGTTCTTAAAGGATCATCTAATCCATCTATTCAGAAAGAAGTAATGCATACATAGCAGAAATTAAACCTGCTTTTGTTTGTTGGTTGGTTGCTAGGAATTAAATTTAGGCTGTGTATGCTAAGCTTGTGTTCCACCACTGAGCTGCATACCAAGTCTGAGTTTCATTCATTCATTCATTCATGTTTTACAGTGCTCAGGATTGAACCCAGAGCCTTTGCAACTAGGCAAGTACTTTACCACTGGGTTGCATCCATAGCCCTTGGGTTTTCTTTCTTTCTTTTTTTTTTTTTTTTGAGACAGGGTCTCACTTTATAGCCCAGGCTGGTGTAGAACTTCGATCTTTTTGCCTCTCCTTTCTGAATGCTGGGATTGTCAATGTTCACCACCATCCCTCGCTCTGGAATTTTTTTTTAATAGTTTGAAAATAGATACAAAAACATTTTTTAAAATGTAATACTAGTAGTCATTAAACTAGGGAGAAAGAAAGGAAAGGGTGATATTTTAAATACTGTTATTTTAGTTGATGAATCTTTTTTGGATAATCAAGAATAAAATAAAGTAGAAAGGGAAATTGCTAAAATTGTTTGCCCTCTGAGCTTTGATGACAAAGGTTTGTCTATGCCTTTGCTGGCAACATAAAGCCTGCTGTTTCTAAAGGCCAAAATTTTATAATAATTTAATAAGAATAGATCTTATAGGTGTATACAAGTAGTTAGCTATTTTTATTTCCCAACTATATAAAGCATTATATTTCCCATATATAATGCTTTACTAAAAGTTATCCCGTTTTAAAATGCTTCAAAGCAGATTAAGAACCTTATCTCTAAGCTTTTTCTGTGTTTTTCTTTTCTTTACATAAATATATATGTCCACATTTCATGACATGAGCCATGCTTCCAGTCTAGCGTTTTTGCTGATATTTTAGAGGGGTCTTACAGACTTTTCTGCCTCTGCTGGCTTCGATCCTCAAATCTTAGCCTTCTGAGTAGCTAGGATTATGGGTATTAGCTACTGATGCCACCAGGCTCTCAGTTAACTTTAACCATAATTTTTGTTTTTGAAGCCAGCCTCAAGTCTCACTAATCTACTCATCTGACTAGGCCCAAAATGCTCTTTTCACTGTCTTGATCTGCTCATGTTTCACATTTGCTGAATTCACATTTTGCCTACAAATACAAGCCCACCACCTATTGATAGAAAAAAGTGACTGCAGGTCACATAAAAACTATAAATGAGAAACCATTTTGGTTGTCAGACTCTTTCCAGAACTACATTGTATATCCCCTATCTCCCAGATTAAAAAAAGCATGCGTTTTATATCAAAGATTGAAATACAGTTAAAATATAATTACCTTGAAAAGTTGAGGTGTGAAATGCATTTCTTTCTTTTTTTTCTTTCTTTTTTGTCAGTCATGGGGCCTGAATTCTGGGCGTGGGCCCTATCCCTCAGCTCTAGGCTAGTGCTCTACCACTAGAGCCACAGTGCCTTTTCTGCCTATGTGGTGCTGAGAATCAAACCCAGGGCCTCATGCATGCAAGGCAAGCATTCTACCACTGCATTACCTTCCCAGCTCGTGAAATGCATTTCTAAAGATTTTCTTCCTTGGCAGGGTGAGAGTTGAGAGTTCAAGTTTATTACATTATTGGCCAAGGTTCCTAAGTGCTTTCTTTGCCAGCTAGGTAGTCACAGTAAGAGTCTAAACATGCTGGATATGATTGTGGATTTCTGGAGTGCAGGCGGCCAGCCTAGGGCCCTCTGCATGTTAGTGCATATACTTGGGCAAGATTTTTAAGTTTGTTAACCCAGTGTTTACATTTTTATTACTTGTTTTCAGAGCACATAAGGAATAAATAAGTACCTAGCTTTTGTGGCCTGACACAGTATCTACCTTTGCTCCTGTTATTTTTTTTTCCCCTCCTACATGCCACCCTTACTCGGCATCTCAGTCATTGCCTGAACTTCCTTTCTTGCACATAAATTAGATAAAATTGAAGTTCCCATTCTCACCTGCCAAGTCTTCTTTGCAATTAATGGGCCAGTGGGAGAAATGATTCCAGTTGAAGCCAAGTAGAACATGACTAATTATGGAGAGGTAGGTTGGATGGTTTTGACAGGATTAGGTCAGATAGGTAATGAAATCTGCTGTAATTTTAAGAACGAAAAGTAATTTTTAGATCCTTGATCTTTTCAATGGGTCATTTTTGATAACATATTATAAATTTCAGTAAGAAAAAAGAAATACATGAAAACGATTTTTTAAAAAATGACTACCACACCAAGCTAAGAACAAGAGATTATTACATTAAAGCTTTGTTAATCTTAGTTATTAGTTATATATTAAAGATATAGTTAGTCTTATTGTGTGAAGTGTCACATTCCTATAGTCCCAGCACTTGGCAGGTTAAGGCAGGAAAATGTGAGATTGAAGGCTACATATTGAAACCTATTTTTAAAAAAGTAAGAGTGTAGATGGAATTTAGTGAGAAAATGCTTATCTGGTATTGTAAGTTTAATCTTTTGTACTGAAAGGAAAAAGGATACTGTTACTATAAAGTATCTTTTTTTCTTTTTTTATTTATTTTTTGTCAGTTGTGGGGCCTGAACTCTGGGCCTGGGAGCTGTCCCTCAGCTCTTCAGCTCAAGGCTAGCACTCTACCACTTGAGCCACAGTACCACTTCTGGCTTTTTCTGGTTATGTGGTGCTGAGGAATCAAACCCAGTGCCTCATGCATGCAAGGCAAGTACTCTATCACTGAGCCACGTTCCCAGCCGCATTATCTATTTTTTTGGGGGGGGGAGAAGGGGGTTCCTGTCATGGGGCCTGAACTCTGGGCCTGGGCGCTGTCCTTCAGCTCTTCAGCTCAAGGCTAGCACTCTACCACTGGAGCCACAGTGCCACTTCCGGCTTTTTTCTTGTTGCTTATGTGGTGCTGAGGAATTGAACCCAGAGCCTTATGCATGCAAGGCAAGTGCTCTATCACTGAGCCACCTTCCCAGCCCCCAATATCTTATTTTTAAACTCTATGTTACAGTAGCAAATTAATTTGGAGCTAATAATAATTCAAATTAAGAAATGTAAGAAAATCTGGGCACTGGTGGCTCACGCCTGTAATCCTAGCTACTCAGGAGGCTGAGATCTGAGGATCGAGGTTCAAAGCCAGCGTGGGCAGGAAAGTCTGTAAGATTCTTATCAGTGGAGCTATGATAGAGTACCACTGGAGCAAAGCTAAGGAGCACCACTCAGGCCCAGAGTTCAGGTTCTGTATCAGCACATGTGCATGCACATACAAAACCATCTCAAAACTTTAAATTTATTTTATTTTATTTTTATTACTGTAAAGGTGATGTACAGAGGGGTTACATTTACGAGAGTCAGGTCATGAGTACATTTACTTCTGAATAGTGACACCTCTTCTTATAAAGGGTACTCACATGAACTTCTTCCATATGGAGTTTCATTGTTGGGGAAGAGGATTCTTCGTTTCTGACCTTGATTTCCCATGCTTCCTATGTGTGAGGTATTCTGGAGAAGCAGGTGAAGGATGGGGAGCCCAGCACATGACTCTCAGCTTGAGACTTGATCCCTTGGTGCTAGCTGGTTAGAGTTCGATGCCTTGCTGTGCGGTGATTCCTCACCATGTTAACAGGACAACCTAATAACCACAGGATTGTGGAGGATGAAGAAACTACTTGAGTTTGTAAAACTCTGTAACGGCGAATTCCTCAGGGATGCTAACCATATCCTGCCATATCCTGTTTGTTGCCCTCCCTGCCCTCCCCTTCCCCTCCCCACTGCCACTGGCTAGCATGGACCTCTTCTGTGACAGGTACCATCATAACTTTGGACCAGGGCTGATAAAGACATAGCCCTTGCTATAACATTTGAATTAAGACCAGTAGGGTACAGATGAGAATTCCAGAGGCTTAGTCAGTCAGCACTCCTATGTTCAGGCACTGATTGAGTCCCTAGAGATGCAGCAGTGGATAAAACAGTCCCTTAGAACTAACATTCTGATGGGGACTGATAGACAGTACTCGCAGGCCAGGAAGCTCTTCTAAGGACTGTGTGAAGATAGAATCTGATAATGTGATAGAATGCCTTGTGGTGAGATACTGGATATCTAGTTATCTAGGACAGTCAAAGCCTCTGAGCCTAGGAAGAGCAGCGTGGAGGCCTGAGCGCCATGAACCTAACGGACTTGGGAGGTGGGAGAAAGGTCACATGACTAGACCATAAAAGGAAGTGGGAGGAGAACTGGCAAAGGCCAGTTGTACACCACAGGGGAGGATGTGAGGTTTTATTTTGGGAAGCTAAGTTGGAGCAGCATGAGCTGAGGACAATGCACATGGTACATTATCCCCCCTTCTAAAATAAAGTAGAGGACTCATGTATGACATGGTAGAGTTATTGTTTTTACTGGATTATGAGATTGCTTGAGTATAAGGCATAATAAGTTAACTTCAGACTAGATAGGGAAAAAAGATGGGCGAGGACAGAAAAGTAATAGAAGACCAGTCAGTGGCTGCCAGATGTTAAAAATCTTGCTTGAGGGTGGTGATAATCGATATGGCAAGGCAGAAATTAACAAGTACAAGGGGACAAACATGGGAGAATTTCTGAGACTAGATAACCAATCAAATACCCGAGCCAAAAGAAGGCACTTTCAAAGATATATTTTGAGTGGAGATTGTGCTAAAACTTTAAATAAAAATGTCATTTTCTTTGTTGCTGTTGGTGATGGTACCAGGATTTGAACTCAAGGCCTGTACTTTCTAGGCAAGTACATTACTCCTTGAGCCAGCCCTTTTTACTAAGTTTTAGGTAGAGTTTACACTTTTGCCTGGGACCAGCCTTACACCACATTTTTCCTGCTTATAGCCATCTATATTAGTGGAATGACAGGCATGAGCAATCTTGCCAGCAAAAATGATGTCTTACTTTTTAAT